ATGTCTCCTTTCTCCTACACTCACTACATCCACCATTTTCTCTGTTCTAGATCAGGTGATTCTGCCTGCTAGTAAGAAGAGGAGAGGAGAGGACAAATGATGGGGACACCAGGGAATTGTTCCCAGAAAGCATAAAGCGAGTGTATCATTAAACACATTCATGCCAAGCTAGCCGGCCTGCATTCACGCCAATTATTCACAGATCTATGTCACTAATCAATTGTCCTGTGTAGGCTTTAGAGACACAGAGAATTGAAAAACTATCCAGTGTTCCAACATTAGTCTAGCACAGCGCAAGTGGGCAGTTATATGGTGATCTATATACAACCAATTAGAAAGAGTTCTATGTATATTCAGCAGTAAATATTAAACAATCTTGCTCACGCCAAGCTTCTTCACTGTACATATATTGTATTTGCAGTGTGATATGGTTTATCAGGAAAACATTATGTAAATATCACTGGGGCGCATGTTGCATATATTTACAAGCAATGTCATCCTAATACATTGAGGACATAACCTAAAATAAACCGAATTACTTTGAAGCATCTGGCAGCTTTTCACATGTTCCCAAGTAAAAGGCTATAAATATACCAAACCTTCTGTTACTTGGCTTATTCTGGAAAAGCAGATGTGACACTGAAATCTGTAAACAGTGTTCACTGTAGGATGTGTAATATATTGATATAATCGAGAAGACTGCCTTTTTTTAGTAGCTGATATAAAAAACAAACAAAAATATTTAGCCATGTAAACTTTATTGAAATGGAATTCTTAGGAAAAACTGCCTCTACATTGCACTCAAATTTCTGTGACATTCCAGGACATGACCGGTGTATAGTCGCCATATGGGCAGTCGGACTCCAGGACAACCCTCCCACATACCTAACCCAATAATGCACTGACACTCGGGTATATGGGAAAATTTGTCCACAGCTTTATTAAACAATCTGAATAATAATAACCATATATTCATTATAACATAATAATAATTTTACAAATAAACATAGGTCATTGCCCCCCATACTCCGCCCTCGCATCCGAATCCTTCTAAAAGGCAATGACCCCCATATAAATAACACATATATATAACATATACCAACATTATTAGAACATACCACCTTAAAGTGCCAAACATAAATTTAACCATGGCAGGGGTATACCCGGATACCCCTACCCCACCAGGTTCTGAGCCACCGACAGGACTCGAAACCTACCAACCGCCAATGACCACAGTTTTCCATATCTGTCACGTTCATCCTAGGGAGCCTATTCCTTCTCCTTCAGCTCCCTATGCCGCCGCTGTGAAAAAATGGGATTTCCCCAACCATAAAAAATATATATAGGGAGGGTGGGCGGGACAAACTCGGTCAGGTAGGAAATTAGAAGTGAGTTCACTTAAAATGGCTGCCTATTTAAATATCCCAGCCCACTTACCCATAACTCCATACTTCCTTCCCTCCTCCTATGCCCGCCTCCTAACCCCTGTCAAGGCCCTTTTTCGCTTAGCTGTGCTTTGGCTACATGGGGCTACAATCACATTGAATTCCAGGAATTGCGCACATTAGCATGCCTCCCAACCACCCCGATTTCGGCAGGACAGTAGCGATTTTCAGGTCCTGTTCAGAAATCCCCTATTTTGGGGACACCAAGGAAATGCCCCCAGAAAGTTTAGCACAAGTACATCATTAGATGCGCATGTAGTGCATTTAGAGCACTAGGACCCTGTCGAGAGCACTGAAGTAGCTTTCCCCCAGCGGGCTATCCTGCTTGATTGGTAGGCATCCTGGCATTCATTCATTTCGGTTAAATGTTTCTGCCCCTGCCAGATTGGCTAGTATTCTGTGACTGGTAAGTATCTTTCAGATTCTTTTTGGAGTAAAAATCCTTCAAACTGTGAATGTGTATTTTATTGTCTAATAATTTTTTTATGTCCTTTGACTTTGCCGTCTCTCTTCTTTTGATGAACAAAATTGGTAAAAAAAAAATAAAATAAGGAAAAATGTTGTGAAAAAAGGAATAACAATTGGCACAGAGAGAGAGATGATGGTGACACTGTATCTTAACGGCTGGAGAAAGAGGCACCAATATAAGGGGAGGAGTAACAGATTGTTTTAAACATAAGAAAATTGTGACATGTCATAAGACTAGCGAACACCAAAGGAAATGTAACACTTTATACATAATCTACATTGTGTTCTAATCAGATACGTTTTAAGAAAAGAGAATTACTGGAGGGGGGAGGGAGGTTAAGTATCCTCAAAGTTACAGAATGGTTTATAAAATATATAACAAACAATAAAGAAATATTACACGCTCTTTAACAGATTTTATTGTGATAACCACCCTTTAAAATGTCAATAGATCATAGTTATAAGTGATGTGGCCATGGTAACCATTTGACCGGATGACATAATCCGTAGGAGTCATTTATATAATCACACAATGACTTTACTATCTGATTGCAAGGAATAAGACATATATTTTACTTTAGCAAGTACACTTTGGTTTCTACAATTTCATGCAAACTGAAATTCTACTCACATGTCAGATGCTAACACTTACTTTGAATACCACATACATGACCTCTGCGGTTTATCTTTCGAGTTTATGAATGAATCATCCGTATCATGCAGTTGTAGTTTTGTACAGCAGTTGTAAAAGTTTTTCTTGCTTAGTTAATGTACATATGCCAGAAAAATAATAATTTACTGTATAACTGGAAGGAATATAACCGAATACAAACCTAAAATACTATCACTTAGCTTACAATACCAGTTGCCCATTTTCCACCAATTAATTTCAAGATCTAAAACTACCCATCTTACTGACTCTGAGGCTTTGTCTGCCCACCCTTTCAGGGGCTTGGCATGCAGACAGTTCTCAAACTAAATTAACAGGTCTGTATATTCTATAATTGGGCACCACGGGCATGCTCTCATGACTTGCTATGTGGCACTATCTTGCTGCCTGGCTCTCTCTGTAGACCACCTTAAAGCTCTGTAACTACTATAAAGCTCTTTCACTGGGTTGTACTATGTTCACGTGTGTTGTGTGTGTCTTTGTATGTATGCTTGTATGAGGGTAAGTAGGTGAAATGTAAATAGTAAATATACTACACAGAGGCCCACTGGCTTTAGGGGCCGATCAGGTATCCCATATACTTAGGGCAAACCCGATAGGAACTCTGGTATACTTAGGGGCCTGGTCGGGTGCAGCGGCCTCTTTAATGTCGACACCCAGTGCTGGGAGGATGTAATTTCCTGTTACTTCCTCCAAGCTTGCATACCACGCAGAGGCTGGGAGGACAGAGCAGGCACAGAGAGGGGGGGAGGAAGAGCATTGCACAGCTTCAGACTACCATTCTAAACAGGCAGTCCAGAAAACCCATGTCCTCCATCCAAAAGGTATGGAAGCAGAGGAGGCTAAAAATCTGTTTCAGCTTGTATATCATCTGTGTGTTTGCCAGTATGTGTATCTGAATGGGTGTGCCAATGTGTCTGTATATGTGTGTGTCAGTGTGTGTGTCTTAGTGTGTGTGTCAGTGGTAGTGTGAGTATGTCAGTGTATATATGTTTATCTGTGTGTGTAAGTGTATATGAGTATCTGTGTGTGTCATTGTGGGTATATGTGTCTGTGCGTGTCACTGTGGGTTTATGTGTGTATATGTGTCTGTGCGTGTCAGTGTGGGTATATGTGTGTATGTGTGTCTGTGCGTGTCAGTGTGGGTATATGTGTGTATGTGTGTCTGTGCGTGTCAGTGTGGGTATATATGTGTATGTATGCCTCAATGTGTATGTGTATCTGTGCATATCCGTGTGTATGTGTATCAGTGTGTTAGTGTGTAGCCACATATGTGTATGTATGCATGCATCCCAGCATTCAAACTTAAGCATCAGCACTACATACAATAGCACCCCTCTAATCAAATGCCAACACTACATACAATAGCACCCCTCTAATCAAATGCCAACACTACATGCAAACATACCCCTGCAATCAAACACCAACACTACATGCAAACACACTGTTGATCAAACACCAACATTGCATACACAACACACCCCTGTATTTAAATGCCAATTTTGTACACAAATACAGTTTTGGTGCAAACAACAAAACTACACACAAACACACCCCTTAATTCAAACACACTAAAAGCAGGTATTCTGAAAAATTACACAGTGTGTTAGCACTCAATTAGATTACAGGTGCCGGTATCTTGGCCACCCACTCAGACCAAATAATGAAATATCCAAAAATTGATACCGCACTCAACATGAAGAAAAGCCCAGGATCTCACCTATCACACTCAGCCAAACACAACTGGAACTGTATGCAGCCATAGGAATTTGACTTTACACCCATCTCCATACTTTCCCAGATTCAGGAGTCAAAGATGCAGTACATCAGGAGTGAGATCTGATCCACATTCCTGTCCGGATATATGTATATACACATTCGGACAGTGTTTCTCTTTTTTTAAATTTTGTCACTTTTTGGAATTTTTTTACTTTTAATAATTTGGATGTATAGACTTTTTTTGCAATATAGGGAGATATTCCCTGTTTGTTCTCATCTTTTCGCTCCGTGGAAATCCTGTGCTGCAAACATTATTTACTATAGTATACAGTACAACCAATGAATGTTACATCAAATAAGATCACTGCTGAAATATATTCTTTGTTTAATTATCTTTTCTTGATGTAATGAACTATACACAAAGCAACTAGTGAACTACAATTAAGATTATTTCCCTGCAGGAATTACTGTATACTGGATGAGATTTCCGTAGGAATAATCACTTACTATCTTGTTTTTAATCTTGCTGTATACAGATTTGTACATAAAGGAACATTGATAGTGTATTTTATTAATATTAGCACTTTAAGCTCGTGGTAATTTTTTGGCACTTGTCACTTTAAGATTATATATCTTCACTCTCGTGATATAGAAATTGGAGTTGTATTCAGGTATATGGCAATGTTCTGCTAATAAATCTTTAGATTGTTTTCATGTTGAGTGTGGTATCAATTTTTGTTAAAAACAAGTATTCAACTGCATTCATGTGGCAACAGTACACACAAACACACAACTGCAATCAAATGCCAACACCTTGTGTGATGCACAATGGATGGGAATCTACCTTTCGGCCACCCTTGCGTTGCAGGGGGCAAACAATATCTTGCACCAAGGTTCTCTCTACATTAATTCCTCCACTGATGGTGCAAAATGTAAATCTGGAGAGGGGGGGGGGAGAGTCATCAATGGAATGTGTCTGTTGGCTACACTGGTTTCCATGGTGATATCCCCACATTTAGCATGTAGACCACCCTTTCAGAACAGAATACTTTGTGAGTTCACCCCCAGTATATTTAGAGAAAAAACATTTGAGACAGTGTTATGTTTTCCCAGATTATGTCCCCCATGCAAACACTGTACAGGTCATACAAGGAGTGTCATATAATAATGAACAATAAAGAACTGGTTCACCAATGCTCATAGTAACAAGGTGACAAAAACATGTACAGCCCTGCATTAATCTACGTAACATGTGGATCATATTTAGAAATACAATAGTTACACTCAAGTACAAAATCCATAGCAATAGATTATAACTGATGTCGTAACAACATATTACCCCAAATATTATTTTTTACTGCATTCTGCGAAGTCTTTCTTATAATCTATGAATTTCACTAGGATTTCGTTTATTAAGGTAATCAGATATTTTAAGCTTTACGGTTTCAACTCCTTTGTTATATTGCCATATCTCAACATCTATAGAAAATGAAAGCTTTGATAATATATTATTAACATATAATAGGTTATTTAGCCTGAAACGATCTTGGCAGTGTAGGGGTTAATAACACAACATGCTTTCATTGTCATTTTACTAGCTATAACTCAATACCTGAAGTGTGAAAATTTAAAAAACAAAACAAAACAATTTTTCTCATAAAAACAGTGAATTAGTATATCATTTTATTGCACCGGGCATCTTGGAATGACTTGAAAGATTTATTCGGCAGTTATGAATGTATTCTCTCTACATAATCTACTGCTTAGTTAGCACAGAAACTGCTCTATTCCATTTTAAAGCATAAAAAGTTCCAACAGTCATTTCTCGTGTTTAACTGTTTCATTTCCCAGTAGAGAAAATCTGGCTCCGCTGGCAGGTGCTGTCCCAGCTGAAGTGATGATTGAATGGGAAAGTCTGTGAACCTCATGTCTCAAACTGTCAGCATTCAGAGAGTGACAAATTCACTGGAACTAAAATATGTTGTTGTTTTTTTCAAATTGTGTATTAAAGTATTAACAAAAAAAAATACTGCTATGATTTAACTTGCATATTGCATCGTATCCAAGAAGTACATTTATCAATCAATTGCATGGATGACAGGCTGGCTAAATAAAACACTCTTATTTCTTCTTTGTAATGCAGAACTCTCTTTGTAAAGGTTGTTATGGGGGGGAAGGGGGGAGGGGGTTACATGCAGACTGTGCTAAGCTTGAGAAACCCTACATTTGTTAGGTTTCACTTATTGAACTCCAAATGTGTTCTGCAAATGTGTTAAATGGTTACATTTGACACTTCATCTTTTTTTTCATACAAGCTTTTTCTGCCTTTTTTCCCACTATGTGTTACCATAAAGTACTTTTTCTCACTCATTGTTCCATTCTACTCATTTGTACTATTCTCTCTGAATGCATAGATATAGATATTATAGATATAGTGATAGTCTAGTTCTCGCTTCACTGAGAACGAGGTGAGGATAGTGAAGATACAAGATACAGATAGATGTTGCAATGTTTTTGCATATAGGGTAATGCACTTGAATCCACTATTATTATTATTATTATTATTATTGCCATTTATATAGCACCAACAGATTCCGTAGCGCTTTACAATATTATTAGAGGAGGAGATTTAACAATAAATGAGACAATTACAAAAACTTACAGGAACGATAGGTTGAAGAGGGCTCTGCTCAAACGAGCTTACAATCTAGAGGAGGTGGGGTGTAAAACACAATAGGACAGAAGATAGCAATCAAATAAGGTGGGAGTGAAGCAAAGCTGGAGGAGAGAGTAGAGTGCTGCCCTTTAGGAGAGAGCAAGAGACAGGTATGTGAGGTAGAGGTTACTCTGGGAGGCCATAAGCTTTCCTAAAGATATGGGTTTTACGGCACTTCTTAAATGATTGAAGACTAGGGAAGAGTCTGATGGCGGTAGGCAGGCTATTCCATAGGAAGGGAGCCACCTGCGAGAAGTTCTGCAAGTGTGAGTTGGCCGTACGGGTCACTAGCAGATACAGTTGCCCTTAAACAGGTATATGAAATGATACGTTCTCACATTAATTCTACCATTATGAGTCCTGGTGGAATATCAGACTGTAGAAACCAACGTTAGAGATAATAATAATAATTACTCTTAGTATTTGTATTATTATTGGCATTTATATAGTGCCAGCTTATCTGCAGTGCTTTACAACAATGTAATGGGAGGTATTTAACAAGGAATGGGACAAACTATTAAAAAGTTTGACAGTAACAATAGGCGGATGAGAACAATGCCCCATCGAGCTTACGTCTCTCCTGCACAGCTGACTTATGGTCAGTTTGTTCACTGTCTGAGTACACAGGGCACAATGTCAAGCAAACTTTCTCTGAATCTGTGACAGCTGAACGTAGGATATAGCAGACAGACGCTGTGTAGATGTTATCTGTGCCAATGACAGAAAGGTCTATGCACCCGTACCCTATGACCTCAGAAAGGGAGATAGTCATCACACAAGGAGAAATAAGAAAGCATTGTCAGGTTTGGCCCAATACGGGCCATTCTGCAAATAAATAAATATCTACATAAATACAGCTATATGTAAGATACAGAAGAAAATACATTTTTTTTTTTGCATAATATTTTTTAAAACATTTTTTATTTTGAATAGTCCAGAAATATTTCAATTTCTTCACACATTACACTTTATTTCTTACATGTGGATTAGCACGCCATTGCTGAGCATTTCTCATAATTCCATCAATTTCCATCCCACTAAAAAACAATATTCTCTTTGCTATTCCCAATTATTTTAACGATTTCCTAGTTTCTCAGGAAATGTAAACTCCTGGTAGAATACATCTCCCCAATGTTCTCTTTTCCTTATCAAATACATATACATTCCTTTTGCTTTCTTTCCAACATCATATTTAAAAAAGGAATTTAAAGGGACACCCCAGAACCCTAAAGCACTTTAGCTTGCCGAAGTGCATTATGTGTGAAAAGTGTGCCCTCTTTTTTTTCATCTTACAGAAAGTGCAGCTTTAAATAGAAATTTACACTTTTATAAATAAACCTGGTGGTTACACACCCCTGTCTGTCAATCAGACAGCCAGTCTTGTTACTTGCTGGTTTGGTTAGCTCAGTGGAGCTAAACTCAAGAGGCAGAAATTGCTCAGAGCAGCTTTCTAGCAAAGATTTCTCATTAAAGGATCACTATAGTGTCAGGAAAATGGTATAGTGCCCTAAGGGTGCCCCCACCCTCAGGGTCCCCCTCCCTCTGCGCTGAAGGGGTTAAAACCCCTTCAGCAGTTTACCTTAATCCAGCAATGGGTTCCCTCAGCGCTGGTGACCTCTCCTCCCCCGCTGACATCAGCTCCCTAGTGGAGCGGAATGCGCATGCGCGGCAAGTGCCGCGCGCGCATTCAAACAGTCCATAGGAAAGCATTTCTGAATGCTTTCCTATGGACGTTCTGCATGCTGGATGCAAATTTCGCATCCAGCGTCAGAGATGCGCCTCTAGCAGCTGTCAGGAAGACAGCCACTAGAGACTGGCTTAACCCCTCATGTAAACATAGCAGTTTCTCTGAAACTGCTATGTTTACATCTGAAGGGTTAAAACCTGGGGGACCTGGCACCCAGACCAGTTCATTGAGTTGAAAGTGCAGAAAGGAAAGCAACAGGCTAGCCAGCAGAGTGTTGCTAACTAATAAGGTTGGTGCCATATGTTTTGTTAGTTTAACCCTGATAGAGAGGGACGTTCAAAGTGAGTTAGTGCTCAGACCGAGCTAGGTTTTTGTTTATAGGGTTTTGTGTTACATTTATGTTTTAATTTACTGCTGTATCCTGTGTGGATTTGCAAATAAAGTGACTGGATTATATGCAATTACAAGGACTGTGCATGTTTTTACCCTACAGGGCCGTGCTACCTGCAAACAAGGATCACAATATGGTGGAGAATGCGGGCATAGTAGCACATTGAGGGTCTGTGGGTGTGCCAGTCATTCGGTAGTCTGCTTGAGGACTTTTATTTTTGCAGACCTGGTAAGCAAACAAGTAGCACTGTACCTTTAAGACTGATACCTGCCTGGTGCTATAATGCAGGACCTGCTGAGAGTTGTGGTACAGGCAACCGCTAAACAACAAGGCACAAACAGTTTCCTGGCTGCACAGGTTAAGAACCTGAGGGACGCTCAGCAGGAGCATAGGGCTGCCATTACTGAGGTTTTGCAGATTGCCCCCTGCAGGGAGCGTGAGGACAAGGGACCCTGTAACCAAGCTACTGACATCCTGCATGAGATGACAGAGGCAGTAGAAGAAGTCTTCAGCAAGCTGAAAAGCATGGAGGCAGCAAAGCGTGCTGATGAGAAACACGCAGGAGAGAAAGGACAGGAATTAAAAGGCAAGAAGGATGAAATTGAGCCTGAAAGAAGTGATAAAATGGAAGAGGGTGAAAAGCCAGCTGGATCCTCCAAGAAACAAAAAGAAAAAAGTTAAAGAGTCCAGCAAAGCTAAAGGAAAAAGCGGAATTGCCAAGAGGCAGTGATGGCGACACTGATGACATGCGCCAAAGTAAGAAAGGTCAGAAGAATCAGAAAGGAGAAAAAAAGACTGTGGCTGAGGCCAGCAGTGTCAAGCCGGTTTGTGTAATAAAAAGTGAAGCAGAAGCTGCTGATGTTCACCCAAGTGAACAAGTTAAAGTCATGAAAAGCAGACTGACTTGGGGAGTCAGAGAAGACAACAGCAAAGGAGCTGAGCAAAATGAAGAGAAGCAAAGCACTCCAGTTGAGTATAACAATGTGGTGTGCTGTTTAGTAGCAGAGACACCTGGTATTGTTACAAAGAATTTGAATGATTGTCCGGGAGCCGTAGAACTAGATCTGCTGGCAAAGACTACTGCTACAATGCCTGGGCGCACTGACTACCGGGAACAGCTGCCAGATTC